GGATGCTTCCGGGATAATACAGACTGTTTCCATATCTACGTTCCTCGTTACTTCCGGTTTTATTTTTTATTGATGTATGCCCAATATGTTTAGTTCCCATCCAATTTGCTTTTTGTTTGGTATCTGTATGTGGTTTTACTACCTTTTCCTTGTATATTGCCAATGGAGGTAAGTTTATTCGGGTTTCTACGACACCTGATGTATTCAATGCCCCTGTGAAATTCCATAGATTTGCATAAACCTTTGTACGCTGCCTATTTTTTCTTGTTTTTGTTGAATTTTAGTCCTCAAGATTAATATACCTTAAGAGATCTTAGGTCGTATTACTGCCGGGTTTTCTTTGTTGTCTACCGAGTCCAACAGATGCCCGCCTGGTCCGTACCTTTGGTTGCCTTTGGAAAAACAACCAACCCGACACAATATTATTAATTTCAAATAAACATTTAGTTTGCAAAGAAATTACTGGTTAGATAGAACTTCCCGCTTTGCGAATATAAAATGAGAATATTATTAACAAATTCCATATTCAGATCACCGTGATATGACGACTGCCTCGGGGAGAAAGTTCCGGAAAATGAACTCCGAAAAGGGCAATAAAAAGAAGAAACAGCAAGGAAAATTGATTTAGAGGAAAACAAGTTTATCAAGACTGAATAGGTGATCGCATCGCAGGGAAGTCCCTTACCTTTAAAAAATTCATATGCCTTATAACATAAGTGTTTTCTGTAAGGGAATAGAGTCTACCTTATAAATATTTTTGTTGCTATAGTGACAAAGTTGTTCTGTGTTTTAATTTGTGGTGTATACAGATGAATAATAAAAATCATTCCTGCCAGGTAGAAATATATATTTGATAACTCGGCATAGATTTACAATCGAAACATTCTAAACTTCAACTGGAATGAATCGTTCGTTTTTTTGTAAACAAACGAAACTTTTTCTACTGTAAAATAAATTATGTTTGACTTTCGGTCGACTAGAAAGTGAACGGTAAATGTTTAAAGAGTTAAATAGTTTCTCTTCATTTAAACTAGAAAACAAAATAAATGTTTAGACATTTTAAAGAAAAAAGTTAATGTTGGTATGATTAAATAAATATAGAAATAAATTAGTATCTTATGGATTAAAGAAATATACAATCAACAAGAGAAGTCATCTCATTCAGAATGTACATACACATTTCTTAGGTTCGAATGTATACACCAGGTTACATTTAATTCAATATATTTAGGATTAATGGCGTCTTTTCACATATATAGATAGAGAATATGTGTGTGTTTGTGAAAGAGAGAGAGAGAGAGAGAGAGAGAGAGAGAGAGAGAGAGAGAGAGAGAGTGAGAGAGAGAGAGAGAGAGTGAGAGTGAGTAAATGAGAGTGAGAGAAAACGGGAGAGAGTGAGAGAGAGAGAGAGAGTGAGTAAGTGAGAGTGAGAGAAAACGAGAGCGAGTGAGAGAGAGTGAGAAAGGGAGTACAAACTGGAAATATTAGATAGATACTGAAAAGGAGATAACTTACAGATAGTGACTGATATAAAAATATAAGAAGATAAGTGATAGTGAAAGAAAGAGAACAAGAAAGAGAGAGAGACAGTAAAAAACGTAAATTTTAGAAAGTTAGATATTCGCATATTATGATAGACGCAATATAAAAACACGAGAAAGTGAGAGTAAAACCCAGCGAAGGAGACAGATAGATAGGTAGATAGATCGATACCTAAATAGAGAGAGAAAAAGAAAAGGAGAAAGGGTAAGAGGGCGAGTGAGAAGGTTAGTTAATTCCAGTGGGAATTAGTAAAAAATGTAAATGTAGATACTAACAGAGAAAAAACTTACAGATAGTGATAGTTGCAAGAGTACAAAAGTAAGAGATAGGGAGGAAGAAAGAGAAAAATAGGGAGAAATCAGAGAGAGTGAGAGGAGTTAGAGAAAGTGAGAGAGAGAGAGAGTGAGAGTGTGTGTGAGAAAGTGGGAGTTGGTGATAGAGACAGGGTGTTCGAAATAAAAACATAACAAAGAAATCACTTTATCAATGAGTTAAATTGCAATCAGTTAACATATATTTAAAACCAATTTATATTAGATTTATGTATTTTACCTACTTACATTTTATTGACATATACAGACAGAAAGACAGACTAGGTGAAAGTGAGTTGAATAGAGCTAGAGTAGAGCTTGAACGGCGCACAAATCAACAGTACAGCACGTACTCGAAGTTATGCTGGTTTAGTATCACAAATAGAAATAAATGTTCGACAGCTTCCAAACCCATGTCGAAAAATATGTAATTATATAGTAGGTGATTATTATTATTAAATCCATCATATTTCGTGGTCTGAGGTTACATTTAATTCAATATATTTAGGATTAATGACTTGTTTCAATACAGATAGAAAATGTGTGTGTGTGATTGTGAAATAGAGAGAGAAAAAGATGGTGAGAAGGAAAGAGCGGGTGAGAGTGTAAGAAAGAGAGAGAGAGAGAGAGAAAGAGAGAGAGAGAAAGAGAGAGAGAGAGAAAGAGAGAGAGAGAGAGAGAAACAATTGTAAATATTTGATAGATACTGAAAGAGAGAGAAACAATTTATATTGGAGTTTTATATATATACACATACACACACAAAATCATTATAATTATGCTAGTACAGACAAAGACTGGGTGAAAATGAATTAAACGGCGCACAATTCAACAGTTCTGCATGTCCTCGAAGTTATGATGGTTTAGTATCACAAGTAGAAATAAATGCTGGAGATTACCATAATTTCCAAATCAACGACGAACAAAAACATAAATTTGTAATTTTATTGTAAGTGGTTATTATTATTTTTTATTATTCCAAAATGAATAGTTTGTTTTTTCTAAAGAAAGGAAACTTTTTCTACTTTAAAATAAAATATGTTTGACTTTTGGTCGGTTATAGAAATTGGACGCTAAATTCTTAAAAAGTTAAACCTTTTCTCTTTAGTTAAACTGGAAAACACAATAATTGTTTAAACATTATATAGAATACACGGTAATGTTGGTCTAATTAAATAAATATAGAAATAAATGAATATCTTATAGATTAAAGAAATATACAATCAAGGAAGAAGTTATCTCATTCAGAATGTACATACACATTTCTTAGATTCGAATGTTCTACACCGGGTTACATTTAATTCAATATATTTAGGATTAATGGCGCGGTGGAAAACATGTACACCCTGATTTAACAGCTCTTGAATAAAACAGAAGGGATGAATCACGCTCCTGGACAAGAGAAGAGGAAGAGAGAGGAAAAAGGGAAAAACTGGCGGAGAAGGATGAGGAAAGGCTTTAAAATAATACCGCACCCCGGCCGGGGTAATCCGCAAGATCCTATTATCGTCAGTCCCTAGGGAAAGTCCTCCCGATATAAAATAATATCTGAGGTAATGATGGTGAGCTTTAGCCGTAATTACCCAGATCGATGGGACTCCGGGTGAAATTGGTTGGAAACGGTCTACTACTTTGCTCCTTTTAGGGTTTTGTTACGGGTCTGAAAGAAGGGTCGGGGTCTGATTCTTTTTCCCTTCAACATGCACAAGCCCTATCCAGAATCTCGACCTATTTCGCATTTGTTCCCTTTCACCCCTTGAAACACCCCATTGCTCTCTTGAAAATCACGTCTTCGTTAATCGATTCAAGGCCCAAACGTCGGAACGTCGGAAGAATTATTGTACAATGGATTTTGGATTGAAGAAATGGAAGGTTTTTTTGAGGTAGGCACCATATAGATCAAGTCTGTGGAGTCACTTTTTATCCCAAGTTATGAGATCGCATTCGAAGATGATATGGGTCGTTGTTTCTTCATCCTCAGAGCATAATCTACAAATAAAGATTTGGCATCTTTTGTTTGAAGCGACAGTACACATTGAGTCGATGAGATCAGGCTGTATCATTTGCCTAAGTGAAATTCCAGCATAATAGTCTGTTGTATTTGACCTTGCAGTCAGTTCGTTTTAGTCGGATTGGTGTGTTCCAAGCGAGGTTATTTTTTAGTTGTAGTCCAAGATTTGAAGGTGAAAGCTGTCAGGAGGAAGATTTTTGCGGTTAAGAGTAACATCTTTAACGTAGGGAGTGCCGAAAGAGAATCGGAAAAGATTATTAAGGTGGCAGAGGCTATATAATGGATATTAATGGCAGTGAGTATAGCCAGGGGTTCAGCGGTGAAAGTAGAACAAAAATAATCGCAAACGATAGACTCAGATCAACATTTGTATGTTGATGTTGTCATCATATCCTGTACCAGCTTCAGATCTGTCAGTGAAAACAATTTATACTCCGTAATTTACAGATCTGAACTTGAGGAATTCATCCTTAAATATAAATTAGCTTTAGGGGCTAAGTTTTAAAATACTTAAGGATTATAAAAATAAATGGCCATGTCTTTTATAAAAACACACTCGGTATAAGTAATATTTGTATAAATTAATCAAAAAGAATTTTTTTTTTAAATTTGAATTGTTGGGCCTAATGCATGTTAATCATCTCGCAGACCACAGATAGAAATGACACGATTCTTTTTAATTGTTCTGTTTTGGGATGTTCACGTTACAGGTCTAAATAAAATAAGAAAAAATGGTAGTAGCTTATGAAATCTGGGCGTTCCTGGTTATAATTTATAATTACTCGTCAGGATCAGAAGCGTAAGCGGTGGCCACGTCCAAACTAAACAAAAAATTATAATATTGTTGACCAATTTTTTCCAGAAAATATTTACCGTCCCCTCTTCCGATTATATTTACTTTTAATTCCAACGAGGCGTGGTCTTTCAATTTTACCGAGTGACACAATGGGAGCGGTTGAGGAACCCCTTAATGCACTCTGAAATTTAAAGTAGTGGATTGTTGGTTTTTTTCCTCCGGAAAGCTTTAGGGGGGATTGATCGGCCTCCGCTCCGCGAGAAAGAGGCAGGGAAGTGCAGGAAAAAATGTTGCCTGGGCTTGTTTTCGGTCTAATTTTTTCCTTTTTTTAATATTTCAGGTAGAATGGCGGAGGGCCCGATGACGCTAGGCGCCCTGTACCGGGTTTGGCTTATCAGGTGCAGGGAGTCGAGAAAGCTAGTTCTTGTCGTCGTAGCTATAGCTCTCCTTCTGGACAACATGCTTCTTACAACAGTGGGTAAGTTGAAATAACTTCTTCTCAAGGTATTTTCACTTATAAGACCAAGTTTAAATGAATAAGAATATTTCTAATTTATTCTTATTCTATTAATTTTAATTAATTTAGCCGATCTTGTTAGATGGATAAAACAAAATAAAAAATACAAACCAAAAACAAAAAAATTGTTAATCCTCGTTTTAAATAACGGATTTACTTACGAATAATAAACATGAATATTACTCATTTAAACAAACACCTTTTCTCGTCTTTTATCCATTTTAATCCAGTTGTATTCTCTTTAACCATGGAAAGACATCATCATGAACCAGAAATTCGCAATATTATTATGAGAATAAGTCATCGACCGGAAGTGGATAAAGTAGAGGCAGTTCCGAGAGACTGGAAGTGCCAATAGGATGCCTGATAGTGGATCAAGGGAGGATAGAAATATTGTAATTGCGGCAAAACGCATGCAATAAGATGTTTTGGCAAGGCATTTATCAACACAAACGATTTGTAATAGTTTGTGGGAAGTTGGCATCACATCGTGTGCCCCTTTGAGACATGTGCAGCAACAGCCCGCCATCAACAACTCAGGAGAATATGGGCAGAGAGCGTTTAGAATTGGAATGCTGTTATGTCTACTGAAGAGTCGCATTACTGTCTGTATAGTGATAGCAGGAGACGAACAGTCTACCGAGAACAGGGGATGCGTTCGTACTCTCTTAAGTGCAGTTTGGAAGAGGCGGTGTAATGGTCTGGGGATTTACACTCAAGACGTACTGGACTCCATATTGTCGAAGGCGACTTCACCGCAGTTATGCCCAAAAAAATATCGAAGAATGATCTCTCAAACCAGGGATCTCGTTGGCAGGGATTTTCTATTTCCGGATGACAATGCCAGACCACATAAAACCTCATTTCAATGTTTAGAAAACCTGCGAATTTGTCATCTGCCCCTCCCCCCATTTACCAAAGAACATACACCTTTACTGAAACCTTTCTCTGGTTTGACGATATTTACTTCAAATTTATTAAAAATATTCTTTGCTTGTTTGAGCAGCATATGTTGACAGGTTTAAAGTGCAATTTTCTTTACAAAAACAATCAATTTTAAGTTAGGTGATGAGATCTTCTTTAGAGGTCATATGGAACAAAAAACACCTTTATAGGGTGTGTCGAGCTTTCGGTGGATTATTCCGCCATCATCAGGGCCGATTTATTAAAAAAAATGAATAACAAAGTACATGTCAGTATTACAGAAAATTTACAACCAATATCTACAACCAAAATTTGAAATTTATATAAAGCTTAGAATTTTTAAAATTTTTAAGAATTAAAGTAAGATAGTTAAAGGAAAACTCACACACTAACTTACTTAAATGATTTAACAAAAATAATATACTATATATAAAGTATATAATACTTTATATAAATTTCAAATTCTGGTTGTAAATAATCTCATGCAGCTTGTTATTCTTTTTTCATCTCAATGGGTCAAGTAAATGCAACAGCTTAATATTAAATTAGTTTTTATTTATGTTAATTTGGTTTTTATGCTGTGATGATGGTGGAATAATACACAGAAAGCTCGGCACACCCTATAAAGGTGTTTTTTGTTCCATATGACCTCGAAAGAAGATCTCATCACCCAAACTTAATTTCCTGCAGGCCGATAAACATCCAAAACAACAATCAATTTTGATAATGTAATAACAATTGGCCATATAAGCTTAACTAATTAAAGATTTTGCAATGTACGTTAATTAAGGTATATTAAAAAATAGTTTTGATCTGCCCGAAATCGGATGTTATTAGCTCGAATTTGGATCTTCAGTTTTAAGTAAATTGGCTACAGCTATACTAAGAGGCTAGTGCTGAACAAGAATTTTAAGAAACAAGTACAATGTTTACAGAAAAGGTATAAAATGAATATTGTACAAAGTGAAAAGAATGAGAATACAAAAAAAAAAAAAAAAATTAAAAAAATCTAGTCCAATTACTTGGCTTTTTGGTTTGACGAGAGGTTTAGACGCTGTGACCCTCTGTCAGATTAATTCAGCTTTAAACCGATTTCTGACAGCGAACCTAGGCGGACCAGAAATCAATTTTGTCGTACTGGGAACATTATTGCAGATTCTATGAATCTTTTAAATGAGTCGAAAATTGGTGCCAATAAGGGATAAAAAATGGACTTTTTCAAGTCCAAGAATAAACAAATCGCTTGCAAATTAAACGTTTCAAATAAGCCATACTTCGATTTAATTTATCCTCCAACATGTCCTCTCAGAACTTTATCGAACCACATAATCCGATCAGAAACTTGGAGGATAGAACCACTAAACGGAGGATTTGGTGAACGACCACTCAGACCAATCTATTCATGCTGCCACACAGCCTTTTTTTAACGTTTTTTTTAAACACGCACATTAAAAATGAGTTTACAAATCAAAATTATTGTTTTGAGTTTATTTCAAAGTTACATTACAACCAATGAGTCACATTTACAACAGCTCTGAAGTTTTATGTATTAGCTCCTCTTTCAGAACTTCCTATTCATTACGAAATGTATATTAGTTTAAAGAGTTTAGATTTAGAAATCGTTCAAGAATTTTCAACACAAGTTAATTATTTATTTTACGTCGGAAAAGTTCAACGGCAAGGCACAAAAACAATCACCTCTGTTTAAAGTCCCAGTTTGACGAGGCGGCAAATTGGAGAGTATCAGAACTTTCTATACAATTCCCACGATTAATTGTGGTCACCCTGGTGTTTTTCCGACCTGTCCTCGTGTTATTGACGATTGTCAAGTGCTATTGACACAACCGAGCTGTCAGGAGCATGCCTCCGGTCGGCCGAGCCTCCCCTGTTCTCTTCATAATCCACTCACGCTTATACCGGTATTAAATAATATCCCAGCCGAGGCAAATACGCAAATCCCGGGGACATGTTTGCCTTTGCCAAATAAATGTTTCAGAGGAATTTCAACTTATAGGCCTGCATCTTATTGAGAAAAATTCAGGTTCTTGTTTTCTTTTAACAGCATTTCAAATCTAAATTTAGGACTAGATTAGGATTTCTATGTAATTTCACCGGCTTATTAAGCAAGGATAAAGTGGTAGTGAGAAGTGACACAAAAATGTTTACGTCGGAGTTAACATGTAAATCAAAGGTCTTGTTGCCTTTCGAAGCGGATGAGGTGTGATATGAAGCCGACGCGGTTCAGCACCGAATCAAATTGGAAGCCGGCTGAAAAATGTCCACGCCTGCCAACCATGAGATTGATGCAAAACCAATAGAACGAGAAAATTAGACGAACCTATAGAAAAACAGTGTGTGCCGCCTGACAAAAAATTAAATTAATTCAAGTTTATTCGATCGCTCATCATTTAAGATCTCATTGGCCTTTAAGAAATTTTTATGAAACTTAATGAACGTTTTGTCTTTTATGGTATGAAATTTTACTGTTTTAATAACTATATTGCCTGCTGATTTTTTGCTTCACTTCTTCACCCCAAAATGGTGCTACAAGATTGAGTATGGAAAGAGAAAATGACATATGAAATGCGAATAAAAATAGCTAAGATCACAACAGACAAACAAAATGTTTGGGGTCATAAATTTAGTTTTTGAGAATATTTATGAGAATATTTGAAAAATATTTAGTTATTGAGATAGGTAAAGACAAAGATTGATAAATATGAAACAAATTGGTAATTGGTGCTATATAGATAGAATAGAGGGTGGGAGAAAAATAGAGACAGGTAGGTAGATAGAGAGATAGGTAGAGGGAGAATGTGTATGTGAGATGTAGAGGGAGATGATGAGAGGGAAAGAGAAAGTGAAAGTGAGATAAAAAGAGAAAGAGAAAAAGAAAGAGATAGAAAGATAGATAGATAGATAGATAGATAGATAGATAGAGATAGATAGATAGATAGAGAGAGAGAGAGAGAATAAAAAACGTAAATTTTATAGTTGGATATTCGCATATTATGATAAATAAATACAATATAAAAACATGAGAAAGTGAAAAAGACAGACACAGACTGGGTGAAAATGAGTTGAACGGCACACAATTCAACAGTTCTGCAAGTGCTCGAAGTTATGATGGTTTAGTATCACAAGTAGAAATAAATGCTCGACAGATTACCACAATTTCCAAATCAACGTCGTACAATAATATAAATTTGAAATTTTATTGTAAGTGGTTATTATTTTTTTATTATTCCAAAATGCATATTTTTTTTTATAAACAAATGAAACTTTTTCTACTGTCATTCTTAAAAAGTTAAACATTTTCTCTTCTATTAAACTGGAAAACGTTTCAACATTATAAATAATACAAGTTAATGGTGGTCTAACTAAATTTATCTCATTCAGAATATATATACATATTTCTTAGGTTCGAATGTATACACCAGGTTACATTTAATTCAATATATTTAGGATTAATGGCGTCTTTCAATATAGATAGAGAATGTGTGTGTGTGTGTGTGTGTGTGTGTGTGTGTGTGTTTGTATACATAGAGAGAAAGATATGGTGAACGAGAAAGAGGATGCGACAGGGAGTGAGAGAGAGAGAGAGTGTGGGAAAGAGGGAATTTAAAAAATTTAAAAAATGTAAATATTAGATAGATACTGAAAGAAAGAGAAAGAGAACATGAAAGAAAGAAAGAGAGAGACAGAAAGTAAAACAACCGTAAATTTTATAGATAGATATTTGCATATTATGATAGATAAAATATAAAAACACGAGAAAGAGCGTAAAAGGCTATAAGGATATAAATAGATAGGTGGATAGATCGATACCTAGATAGAGAGAGAAAAGGAGAAGGATAAAGGGTAAGAGGGAGGGAGAGAAAAAGTGAAAGAAGGCAAGTGAAAGTTAGCAAAAAATGTAAATGTAGATACTGAGAGAGAGAAAAACTTACAGATAGTGATAGAACAAAAAGTAAGTGATAGGGAGGTAGAAAAAAAACGAGGATAGTGAGAGGAGTTAGAGAAAGTAAGAGAGAGGG